ATAATAGCTACTTTATATGTGGTTACTATGATGTTGGCATTTATTGATTGTTTTTCCCATTAGAATTGATCACATTTGTCTTGTTTTCTGTGTTTAGCAATTTTGAGTTGTGCCCTAGATAATGTGAATGTTACATTGTACAGGCTCTAAGTCCCTATTATACTGTGCTGGAGATTGTTGATATTTTTGTTTTTGTTTTAGCATGCAATCAACCCAGTTAGGTTCAGAATATAGGTTCACTGCCTCATAGTGATTCATATCACAGTTAACTTCTCAAAGCCTGTGTTTTGGTGTGCCCTGTGTGAGACAGTCAGGAGTTACTCTGAGACATGGGCAGTGATTTAAAGGAGTTTAGTTCTCTAAATGGGCTTAGGTGTGCCCATCAAATGTGTAGCTCAGGGTTTAGACTGAAACTTGTGTGGGTTCAAACATGGAACCAGGTCATCCCCTTCTCTACCTGTTTCCCCTCTATGATTTTCCCTACACTTGCAAGAACCTCTTTTCCTGATTCCTCAGCTCACAAAGATGTGGTTTCTATTAGATTTCAGACACTGAGGTTGCCTCCCTTGTAATATTGTATAAATGGAGTCCACATAGGGGAAAGCTACAAGAGAGATGAGGGGGAAAACTACAAAACAGGAAACTAAATGATGGTGTGTTCTAAGGCTTAGTCCCTGAACACCTCGATTTCCTCTCTACACTCACTCTCTAGGTGAAAGCATTCTGTAATTCCATAGCTTCAAATCTGAAAGCTGACAACTCTTAGACCTCCTCTAACCTCTAGACTAATATACCAGTTGCCTACTCAACATCTACACTTGTATATCTAATAAACTCTACTTGTCAAAAACCAAGGCCCTCCTCCACTGATACTGGATTACTTTTGACTGCGTATAACAAAATACACACACACACACACACACACAAGAAAACATGCATTAAAAAAAAAAAGTCCACGGATAGAGGTAGACAGTCCCGAACATGTATGGCATACTCATTAGGCACCCATACTCATTAGGCACCATACTCATTAGGCACCCAGGCCCCTTATCTCTTGATGCTTTTCCAACTTTAGTATGCTTGCTTTTTATGTTAGCGGAGGGAGAAATGTAATGGGAAAAAAAAATTTTTTAAAAAGAAATTACCAAATTTATTTAAATTCAAGTTAGTTAACATATAGTGTAATATTGGTTTCAGGAATAGAATTTAGTGATTCATCATTTACATATAATACCCAGTACTTATCACAAGTGTCCTCCTGAATGCCCATCACCCATTTAGCAGACCCCCATCCACCTCCCCTCCAGCAACCCTCAGTTTGTTCCCTATAGTTAAAAGTCTATTATGGTTTGCCTCTCTCTCTGTTTTTATCTTACTTTATCTTTCCTTCCCTTGCCCTGTGTTCATCAGTTTTGCTTCTTAAATTCCACATAGGAGTGAAATCATAGGGTATTTGTCTTTCTCTGATGGTCTTATTTTGCTTAGCACAATACACTCTAGTTCCATCCACGTTGTTGCAAATGGCAAGATTTCACTCTTTTTGATGGCTAATATTCCATTGTGCATATATATAGCACGTCTTCTTTATCCATTCACCTGTCGATGGACATATGGGCTCCTTCCATAGTTTGGCTATTGTGGACGTTGCTCCTATAAACATCGGGGTGCATGTACCCCCTTGATTCACTATGTTTGTATCCTTTGGATAAATACCCAGTAGTGCAATTGCTGGATCATAGGGTAGCCCTATTTTTAACGTCTTGAGGAACCTCCATACTATTTTCCAGAGTGTCTGCACCAGTTTGCAGTCCCACCAACAGTATAAGAGGGTTCCTGTTTCTTCACATCCTCTCCAACATCTGTCATTTCCTGACTTGTTAATTTTAGTCATTCTTACTGGTATGAGGTGGTATCTCATTGTGGTTTTGATTTGTATTTCCCTGATGATGAGTGATGTTGACCATCTTTTCATGTGTCTGTTGGCCATTTGTTTGTCTTCTTTGGAGAAATGTCTGCGTCTTCTGCCCATTTCTTGATTGGATCATTTGTTCTCTGGGTGTTGAGTTTGATAAGTTCTTTATAGATTTTGGAAACTAGCCCTTTATCTGATATGTCATTTGCAAATATCTTCTCCCATCCTGTTGGTTATCTTTTGGTTTTGTTGACTGTTTCCTTTGCTGTGCAGAAGCTTTTTATCTTGATGAAGTCCCCATAGTTCATTTTTGCCCTTGCTTCCCTTGCCTTTGGCGATATTTCTAGGAGAAGTTTCTGTGGCTGAGGTCGAAGAGGTTGCTGCCTGTGTTCTTCTCAAGGATTCTCATGGATTCCTGTCTCACATTTAGGTCTTTCATCCCTTTTGAGTCGTCTTTTTTTGTGTGTGGTGTAAGGAAATGGTCCAGTTTCATTCTTCTGCAGGTGGCTGCCCAATTTTCCCAACACCATTTGTTGAAGAGACTGTCTTTTTTCCATTGGACATTCTTCCCTGCTTTGTCGAACATGAGTTGACCATAGAGTTGAGGGTCCATTTCTGGGCTCTCTATTCTGTTCCATTGATCTATGTGTCTGTTTTTGTGCCAGTACCAT